TTCTGGGATCCAACAGAGCTTAGCCAATCACCACACGAGAGCTAGTATCACACAGCCTCATAAGGGATAAAATACAATCAATTTGGCTACATTCCGGAAAATTATGATTGTCGGCTGATACAATGTTTTGGCAATGATGGCAGATATTATCTACTAACCATTGTGATACACAAACAAGGCAGGAAATTTTTTGCAGCATGGCAAAACAGTAATCTCCCTGTTAATGATACTGGCACAAATAAAACACGAAAAGTTACTTTTGATCTCTGGAAATGTATGTTTTAGTGAATTCAATTTTGCTTTAGTGTCTTCTAATAATCTGCTGAAGTTGCTAGTAAAATCCTTGTCTTCTTCATTGAGATGGCATAGGTTTTTTTCTAAGAGGGCCAGTTTTACATCTAGGCGTTTAATTCTTGCATTATGCTCAAATTTCAACAGTGATCTGGCCGCCCTTTTGTCTGATTTCCCTTTACCAAATTATGGATGTGGCATAAAATCATCGCCATCAGAATGAGCATTGGATGTTGATCCATGCAACAAATCATAGTCTTCTTTTAAATCAGCCTTTATTTGCCTTGACTCTTTCCAATATGATGCATGTATATTATAATATAATAATTATATTAAGCATAGAATAATTGTTATTTTAATAATCTACCTTGAGTGCAACTATTCTGTGGAATAAGCAAATTATCATTGTCAAAAAGACTATATCTTTTAGATGAACAGTGCCTTTCATTAGCGACCCTTTGTGATAATAATGTAATTCAATAGACTTGCTCCATGTTTCACTACTTTCAGATTTGATTAATTTAAGAGCTTTAGACTTGAGTGATAAGCATTTGTTCTTGGCCGTAGTTGGACCATGTGTTTGATAAGGCATCCCGATTGTACCATATGGGAGCAAAGATGTCAAAAAGTTAGGAAATTCCAAGGAGCCACTAGGTGCTGGCCTATCCGGTGTAGAGCTAGTCGTGCTATTACTACCAGGTGGCCTGACATCTTTTTGAACTGTGTAAACGAGTTTACCGTCCAAATGGAATTGCCGTGTTTCATCTGGAACTTCAAGCTGCCAGTCATCTTGAGTGTAGAGAAGAATAGTTTCTGGGGTAAGACCAAAAGCTTGTCCTATCCACTTCATAGATAACTGGTAAGACTTAAATTTACCCTTCGTTCATTATACACCAGGACATACTCTCATTGAGTATGGCTTTATCTCTGGCCCGAGCTTGAGCTATACAATTCCATCTTCTCACGTGCAAGTTGAAATTTTGTGCATGTGACCTCGTGATCAGTATGAATAATGACAAGACCCCTCCTATTATAATTTACAGTAGAGCAGGTTGTAATATGACTTGTGGAACATTGCCGAGGAAAAACCAACAAAGAATAGAGCCAACACTTGAAATCTCTGTATTTGAACCCTTTAAGCAGGGTTATCGGCTAAAAGTGTCAGGACATTTTGCAAAATGTATATCAATGAAATATCAGATAGTGAAGTTGATGGTGTTGTTGGTGATGCTTTTAGAGAAGTGGGTCAATTGCATGCATATTGTCGAATATGATTGGTGTAATTGCTGTGTATATATGGTCCTAAATCTTTCACCCATAAAAATTAATTTGCAACTGGTAATGCAGGAATACTGCAGAGCCTGAGGTATGGCTCACTCTTTGGCCAGCGGGCACTTCGAAACTTTATATATTATGGTTTACTACAAGAATAAATATTGATGTAATTGAAACTATACCCTTCTGTTATGACATTTCTGAAGTTTTTCAATGTGATAGACAAGAAGTTTGGTTAAAACAAGTTAATTTACCTCTCCCACAACACTTGATTTTGAACACACTATTTCTCTGTTTTGTGGTTAAAATATTATTGCATGCATTTTTTGATGCCACCTTTGTTTTGATGGAAATAATACTTGATTGGTGGTTGTACTACAAATATGGAAAAATTAGAAACATTTTTTTTAAAGTAATTTTTTAATGAAGTATAATGACTTCCTGTAGTAGTACCATAAAATGAATATAATAGAATCATAGAAACAATGTCTGTTTTTGCTATATCTTTAAACACAAACTCCTCCTCCTTTATAATTTTTCACTGATTAGAGCACAGATCTAATGGTATATGTAGCCGTAGCATATATTATGCACATCCCATAGTTTCATTAAGTAGCGTTGTACTTCATTTATAATTCTCTGCCTCAAGCTTATTGTTAAGGCTTTTCCAATAGATTCATTGTTTGCAGAGTTGTCCAAAGGACTTTGGTGTAGTGCTCGACAAGGTTCTTTGTCAGTGGATTTTAAGTTGCTCCAAAATTTGACTATATGCATGGGGTATTTTTCAAAAATCACAAGAATAGAAATTTCGGTTTTTAATATTTTGTTTGATACATAATATACATCATATTGTGCTGTATGGAAACTTTAAGCTAATTCCAAAAAGTATGAATTTTATGCAATTTTAAAAGTATACCAAAATTTTGGCCTAATCTTATTACTGTAATATAGAGTTTTTTGCCAAGGTGACGAGAAGTGAATTGTTTTTTTTTAATAATTTAAATTTTGACACAATGTTTTTTGTGTACCAATTAAGTGTCACCTAATTCTGATCAAAATTAAATTTTTATAAGTTGTTTTCACTTATTGGGTTCAAGTTCCTTCTTTATGGTACAGGATTCTTGACCAAATTTTGCTAAAAATGACTTGAAAGAATTCGACATTTCAATAACGTATTGTGATATATATTAACAGTAATAAAACAATAGAAACAACAACTATAGTAATAATAGTAATAATAACAATAAAATAATAATATGGAAAATAATAATAATAATAATACAATAACAATAACACTAACAACAAAAAATAATTATAGCTAAAAAGATGGAGAAGGTGAAGTGTGCATCATCAACACTGCATTCTAACTCTAATCAAAATTGGGTTTTTTTATTAATTTTTATAAGTTTGTCAAAAATTTTGCCAAAAATGACTTAAAAACTTTTTGTTTTGTAATTTAATCTGATCTATGTATATTTTTAATGTTGTATAGCAAGTTTGAGCTGATTCAGGCCAAATTCCCTGTACAAGTACACTATAAATTAACAGAATGAGTTAGACAACTCTGCTCTGCAAGCTTTGTTTGTATGAACCTAGTTTAATAGCAATCACTTATTAGTTTGTGTCACTTAACCCTTTAACACCTAAATTTATTTATAGCAGCTACACCCACAGTACAGAATTAATTTGTATAAAAATTAATTTTTAGTAGTACTAGTTTAAGAAAGAATTTCTCTTAAGATCTTGCGCCAAAATACTTAAAACTTACTAGCAGCCATTATGGGATGTTTATCCTTCAATACAATAAGTATCTAGTAAATGGTGTAGCATACAGCAACGGAGCGTCTGTTGTAAAGATACGGACCGCTTATTTCAACTACTCAGACTTGGTGAAGCAAAAGAGAGAGTTCTATCATTTAATCAGGACCTAGTAGGCAGGATATGAAAGAATGAAGAGGCAGGAGTAAGTGCAGAAGACGCTTCGAGTAGAAACGCTACAGTGACTTGTCGAGGCCATGGTTTCTAAGCTGTTGCTAGGCACACCAAAACTCCACCCATCGTGAATTATGGAGTCCTTGATTGAGTATGGCTTCTTCAGCACTGAGCTGCTTGCTTTCTTTAGTTGCATTCAACGTAAAACTTTAGATATACAATCTAAACAGCTGTTTTAGTTGCACAAAAAGTTTTATTTGCAAAAACTTAGAGGAAGTTGGCAAGTGTCCACTGTAAGAATGAGCTTCGGATATTTGAGCATTTATCAGGAAGTTAGGCTCAGAAATAAAATGCTTTCCCTTGTAGCAATCTCAAATGGTAGAAGATGAAGGGTTATCAAAGCTGAGGACACCTCTGAGGAATCTACAAACAGATGTACTACTTATACCTTTGTTTCTAAGGCGTTGCTATGCAGATTTAGCCACACCCACTGTTAGTTTTTAATCAGAAGAGGCTACTGCTTGGTTTTCTCATTGTTTTCTGTCATTCTGTTTCTGTTTCATTGTCATTGGAAAGGTATGAATGTTCAAAGTCTATTATTGTTATTATAACTAAGAGAAAGTGTTTTTAGGCATCACTTGTCGTATATTTCTCTCACTTACCATTATTTAGCCCCTACTAGGCTTGATAATCTTTATAACAATTGTGGATGACAACCTTGCTCAGGTAAGTTGTAATTAATTCTTTTATATATTTGTTCAATGAAGGTTGTGGCATTAAAAGATTTCTTTTGGAAAAAGTTGCAATAAAAAAAGAATGGCATGTGACATTTACATTTTAGTTAAGCTACATGTACATTGTTGGATCTTTTGGTAAGTAGTGGCTCTGAAAAGAACTGGTTGACATAGTAACTGCTGATGATGATGAATGATGATGCTGAGAATAGTGGCTCTAAAAAGAGCCGGTTGTGTTGATGGAATAAGTGATGAACGATACCAGTGATGTGAAGGATTGAGACCAGTGATGGGAGAGAGTGAGACCAGTGATGGGAGCGATTGAGACCAGTGATGCGGAGTGAGACCAGTGATGGGAGTGAGTGAGACCAGTGATGCAAGGAAGTGAGACCAGTGATGGGATGGAGTGAGACCTGCGATGGGATGGAGTGAGAACAGTGATGGGAGTGAGTGAGACCAGTGATGAAAGGGAGTGAGACCAGTGATGAAAGGGAGCGAGACCATTGATGGGAGAAAGTGAGACCAGTGAAGGGAGAAAGTGAGACCAGTGATGGGAGAGAGTGAGACCAGTGATTGGAGTGAGTGAGACAGTGATGAGAGGGAGTGAGAGCAGTGATGTTGAGTCAGGGAGATGGTGAGAGAATAGGCAGTAGTAATAGAAAGAATGTGAGCAGGCATAGGCAGTAGTAATAGAAAGAATGTGAGTAACAATGAATTAGTAAAATATGTATAAGTGAGAGTGAGACAAGTTGAGACAGCATTACAATGTCAGTCATGGTGTTTGTGGTACTGCAGAAAGCAGTCGGTTTCCTGACCCTTGTAGCGTAAGTACACTTGGCATTCTTCACAATACAACTTCGTGTCCTTTTCTTTGTTTGCCAAAAAGCAGTAGTAGCATCGATGTTGCTTGCCATCACCAATTAGAGGATAGTGTGCCTTACAGAACTTTTTTGTAGTCAATTCAGAAAGTTGTCTTCCCTTTCTCTTTATTGAGCAATATCCATCCAGTAGCTTGTGTAACAAAGCTGTACGGAAAGCTTTAGTTGATTTCACAACTTGATGATGGTCAGGATTTGATTTGGCAATTATGATGGCATTAGTTACAGCAACATCAAACACCATCCAGAACAGGCACTTGTAGTACATTCTGCTCTTGAGTCTGACATGATAATACTCTCTCAACTGGTCATTTCTGTCTACTCCCACGATATATTTGTTGTAGGTGTTGATTGAATGAGGGCAGGGGAAATTGTGACATTCACCAGTCTTCAGTTTCCTCTCCACTTCATCCAGTGGGACAGTCTGACAGAATGCGGAACATACTTTCACTGGTTTCGTATCCTGCCATACACTAACTGTCAGGTTATTGTGACAATGCTGTCTGCTCTCACTCTTTCCTCTCATATGGAACCCTTTCTTCGCATGGACCTTCAGCTCTGTAGGGAACCCATGGCGGTCAGATCTGAGAGTTCCAGTGGCATACACTCGTTCTTCATGCAAGTCCTGGAATAGGCCAATACTGCTAAAGAAGTTATCACAAAATATGTTATGGTACTTGTGAATGAGGCTACGAGTCAGGTCCTTCACAACTCTTGCTCCAAGACCCCTCTCGGGTGATATCTCCCTGCCAACATATACTTGAAATTGGGACATATCCTGTCAGGCTATCTGCTCTTATCCACACTTTCAAACCACACCTGACAGGCTTCTCTGGCATATATTGTTTCAGTGAAGATCTCCCTTTGTACGGAACCATTGCCTCATCAATGGCACATTCTCGATTTGGATTGTAAAGTGCAGCAAACCTACTCTAAATAATATCCAGTACCTCTCTTATCTTCCACAGGTGGTCATGGCCACAATCCAAAACAGAAGGAAGATGATAGTAAAAGAACATTTGTTGTTGCTT